TTTAAACCTCAAAGCCCATTCCCAGTGACACTTCCTCCAGCAAGACTACACCTCCCAGTCCTTCTAAATGATGCCACTCCCTGGTGACCAAGCATTAAACACACGAGTTTATGGGGGTCATTCTTTTTCAAACCACCACATAATCTTAGATGATGGGGCTCTGATGGTGGCACACAGTTGTTAAAATCTGATGTTTAGTATTTATTTCCTGGTCATGTTTTTCATTTGAGAGGCGTTTTGATTGTCCAGCCTGTGGGAGACGAAAGAGACAATGTGTTCTTATGGAAGGAAGTATATTTTTAATGTAATAAAGGCAGAAGCTGAAGAGAATAGCACTAAAGTTATGATTTTTGCCTGTAAGAATGACACTGACATTGTGTTGTTCTTCCACAGTGATAAGAACAAGTGAAAGCATTTAAAGTGTGGTAAAAGAAAATTAAGTAGTTTAAAAATACATCTTATTTCTCTTCTCACTCCTCCAAGCCTAGATTTCTCCTATTTATTTTCTCTCCCTCTCAGCCCTGCCTAACCTTTCTCCTGCCTAGCTACCGGGCATTCAGGTTTTTATTAGACCAGCCAGGTGCCTTAGGTAGGAAAGGTGAAGCAAATGCAACACATCTTTTCATAATTAAACAAATACAGCAGAAACAAAAGCAACACACCTTTACACAGTTAAAGTGATATTCTGTAGCATAAACAAATGCAGCACATATTTGCCCGGTTAAAATAATATTCCACAACAGTATTCTACTAAAGGAACGTAGCAATAAACGAACTCCTACTAACTAACATTCTGCTAGATCAGTGTGTCTCACCCAGCCATTAACATAGAAGCTTCCTCCTACAGTAGATGGGAACTAATATAGAGACTCACAACTGGGAAATGTGCAGAGACCTTGGAACACTCAAGTCTAAATGTGATGTCTTCAGCAAACCCCTCCCCTCAGGGCTCAAGAGCTAAGTGGAAAAGGAGTCAGGAAAATTGTAATAGCCAAAGGGAATGGATGACTCCAAGGACACAGTGTCCTCCAGACATAACAGGTCTGATACACAGAGACTGTGGCAGCAGGCACAGGGCCTGCATAGGTCCTAACCAGATGTGATTGCAGTGCTGAGAGGGTAAGTAGAAGGAGCTCCCATACCCAAGCAAGACGCTATCTCCAATTGATAACTGCATGCAAAGGAAAAATTTGTTTTCTCCAATGGAGTCTCACTGGGTATACAAACTACACCTAAAGGGCAATTTCCAGCCCAGCAGTGTACAACCAACACAAAATGAATTTAGCGGTATTTCTGGAGACTGTTTTTGTCTCATATTGATTTGTTTGGCCATTTTTTTTTACATTAATTTGTCTTTTGCTTGTATATTATAGTTTCCGGTTTTGTGTTTTTATATGTTGTGTGTGTATCTACATGTGTATCTTTCTCATGCTCTTTCTTTGTTTCTTTTTGTTTGTTCATTTGCTAGTTTATTTTGTTTTATTCTTGATTGCATGTTATTTACCTGTTTTTTTTTGTTTGTTTGTTTGTTTTCGAGACAGGGTTTCTCTGTATAGCTTTGGAACCTATCCTGGCACTTGCTCTGGAGACCAGGCTGGCCTCGAACTCACAGAGATCCGCCTGCCTCTGCCTCCGTAGTGCTGGGATTAAAGGCGTGAACCACCAACGCTCCGCTACCTATTTGTTTTCTTAAGAGAGAGAAAAAAAAAAGCATAGAGTTGGAAGAGTAGGGAAGATCTGTAAGGAAAATGAGGGAGAAGAAACCATGATCAGAATATATTGCATAAAAAACACTATTTTCAAAAAAATTGTATAAAATTTTCAAAGAGTAAATTATAGGATTATTTTGAAAAATTGTTTAGTGTGTGTACATGTACTAGAAAAGATAGATATATGATAGGTAGATAGATAGATAGATGATAGATAGATAGATAGATAGATAGATAGATAGATAGATAGATAGATGATAGATAGGTAGATAATCTTTTCTCTGCTGCTCAGCCTGTCCTGGAATTCTGTGTTTCCAAGGGTTAGCCTTGAATTCAAGATTTTTTTGCCTTAGTCCTGAGATTATAAGTATATACCGCCATGCTGGCTTGTAAATGCTTTTTGATTGACACAAAAGGCATACACTACAGAATCAAAACCCTCAGCATTTATGTACAGCTGATTCTTGTCCCTTTGAGCAAAGGAAAACAAACTCAGTGAGCCTCCACTGAGGTGCAGAGCCGCCATTGGTATGTTGGGTGGTCTTGGCTAATAGAGCTGAGACTATGGTTCTGGTAAAGACTGTTCCTGAAGTGCTCATGTGGTAGAGGTTTGCACTTGGGGGTCTTAGTGCTAAAGAGCCTTTAAGAGCAAAGGGCTAGAGAGAGGTAGTTAGGTCATTGGTACCTCTGCTCCTGAAAGGGTCAATGCTGGCCACACAGAGAAGTTTCTTCTCACAAGACCAGGTTGTTACAAAAGAGCAAAGCTTTCTCCTTCACAGTCTCTAGTCTCTTGTCTCGGTCTATGTGCTTCTGTTTTGCACCATGATGTCTATTGTGTTGTGACCCAGTTGAAGGAGCCCTCACCATAGCTGAAGTGATGGAGTTTCCCAGTGTATCAGCAACTTTTCTGTTGCCATGATAAAACACATGACCAGAAGAAACTTGTATGATGAAGAGTTTCTTGGGGTTCATTTGCAGCTCCAGAGGGGAAAGAGTCCATCATGATGGAGAGGCATGGCAGCAAGCAGCAGGTATGGTTGTGAGAGCAGCAAGCTGAGAGCTCACATCTTCAACCACCACTAGGAAATAGAGAGAGCATGAGGCTTTTAATCTCAAAGCACCACCCCCAGTGATGTACTTCCTCCCACAAGACTGCACCACATAAACCTCCTCGAACAACACCAACCAACTGGAGACCAAGTGCACAAATATCGAGACTATGGAGGCTCCTCACTCTGATACCACACCCAAATGAAATACCAAGTCCAGACCAAATGCCACACCCAAACTTGGGTTTTCAGTCTCCCAAACTGTGAACTAAATAAACTTTTTTTCCTTTATAAATGCCTAGCTCAAGGTATTTTGTTATAGCAACAGTAAAGTCACCAATACAGTGGGCATCCCTGAACTTGTTACTTTCCTGTTAAAAGTAATTAAATAAAACCAAATGACTCTAGGACAGCTTGTAGGACTGTGCATGACATACAATGGTAGTTTTCTTCCTGCTTGTCTTAGAAAAGAAAGAGTTCATCTAAAGACCTTTGAAATATTGTTTATACAGTGCTTAACAAGGAGCAGAATTTCTCACTTCTCCTAAATGAGTTTATGTTTCACTGTAATTATTATAACTTCTGAGGAGGTACTGGATGGATAATCACTAACTATATTATCAGTGACCTGTAAATGTACTGATGAAGAATATGGGAGTAACATATAATATAGATGCTTACAGCCTAACTGATGTCATATATAAACAAATTCATCAAAGACTAATTAGATAATATGTATATGTTGCAACAAAGTCCCTTGCCTGAAACTTTTGAAGCCAGTGCTTTTTGAAACTTGGAACCTTTTGGATTTTCAAAAAGTAAATTGTGCGGGCTGGAGAGATTACTCAGTGCCTAAGAGTACTTGCTGCTCTTCCAGAGGAGCCAAAATGAATGCTTCCTTCTTTTAAGTTAGTTCTCAGGTACTTTATGACAGTAACAGAAAGCAGACTACCATCTAGTTGAAATATAGTAAGTAAATGCAGGGTAATGGGAAAACGTAGATCTGGCAAATCCTAGAAATCTCGTGTGTGTGTGTGTGTGTGTGTGTGTGTGTGTGTGTGTGTGTGTGTGTGTGTATCTATGGGATCTATAAGAATGACTAACAGGCTATGGTCCAGTTAGTCCAACAATGGCTGTCTACCAAGAGAAAGTCTAAAAATCTAGTAGTTGTTCCGTCCACAAGGCTGATGTCTCAGCTGGTCTTCTGTATACAATGGAATCTCTAAGAAGTAGGCTCTAACGCCAGTGAAGTAATGAACTTGCCAGCAAGAGTGAGGGCAAGCAGACAAAGACAGAGCTTCCTTCTTCCATGTTCTTTGTACTGACTGAACCAAAAGATGTGGTACAGATCAGAGGCGGATCTTCCATCTCAAAAGACCCAGGTTAAAGGTTGGCCTTCTCCTTTCAAATGATTAAACTAAGAAAAATCTCTTACAGGTGTACCCAGCTGCTTGGGTTGTAGTTAATTTCAGATGAAGTCAAGTTCACAACCAAAAATAGCCATTTCTATCTTTTTTCCTTCCTTCCTTTCTTCCTTTTTCTCTCTCCATCTGACCTCCAACTCCCTATGCTAGACTCAGTCTATGGGACCAACATCTGCTTACCCAGTATAGCGTAGATAAAACATTAGCTGACTGAGTGGCTAAAAAACATTCTGGAAAAATGGGGACCCAAAAAGAAAAGGAGAACCCAGAAAATCATGCGAGAAGAAAGAAACAAAGGAAAAAGAAAAGAGGACCAAAGCAAAAGGTTGTACAAATAGGAGGATAGGAAAGGGAGAGGAAAATGGGTCCTTACCCAAGCACTTGTTCTTGCACCACCTTACTAGCAGGCTCTGTAATTTTCCAGGCTCAGGATAAGAAGCCTAACCACATGGCTTTCCAGACACAGTCCTAGATAGAATCACTTTAATTGCATTTGCATCAGAGAAGGGCATTGCCTTGTGCAGGGCCCAGGAGTTTGTGATTACCACATAGGCCCCATGTGTGTAACAGGGAAGCAGATGGGTAAAAGATGCAGTGAACTCTTCTAAACTGTGCCCAAGTTGTACTCAGTCCAGGGATGAGACTGATGACCATGGCTAAGGTAGGGTCTAAAGCTTGGCCTTTGTAGGGCAGGGATTGAAGATGAGAGACATCTCTAGGAGAAACTAGGCATTATTTTGCATTGCTGACACCCAGAACAAAATGGCAGTTGGATGACCCCTAATGCAAAGAGTAATTGTATTTTCAGAAGCCAAAGATCAGACCATCTTTATTTGCGTTGAGCCATCACATGTTGTGATAATGTACTTTTCAGTTATGTAAGTCAGATAATGGCAGTTGGGAACGACTTGGCCTGGTTTGGACAACAGGCACACTGTCAGTTCAAAAGGGCGGGGGCTTTTGTGACATTTGGACCCCTTGAGGTCACAGGCAATCACAGGACTGTTACAGACTTCTTGGACTGTGCTTGGAGTTTCATGGATGAATGTGTAATGGTTTATGCAAGTGTGATTATATTCCTTCATCTTGGATATCATCAAGGTGTTACAGTCCCTGGCATTTAAGTCAATCTTAAAGTCTTGTTTGCTCTGTGAGAGAGCCTTAGTCCCCAGCATCCTACTTCCTCCAACGTCATCTTCATTGAGGACAGTCTCTTCTAGCCAGTTAGATTGTGCCATTTCTTTGTAGCCAAGCGCCGGTGCTTTTGTGGTCCAGGTGCCTTCTCCCTCTTCAGTGGCCTCAGCTGTGTCCTTGGAGTCACCAGGCCAAAACTCACTGAGTGGCTGATCACTATCCTGCAGGACTGCAGCAGCCATGTGAAGGCCCAGGCCCAGGCCCAGGCCCAGGCCTAGCAACAGCAGCAACATCATGAACAACATATGCACCAGAGTCACCTTCATTTTGCCTGGAGAAGAGTGGGAAGATGAAGGCATGATGTAGAGATAAACTCTGGCTCATGTCATGGTTAGCCAAAGTCAGCAAAATAGGCCCCAGTTTCTCCACTCAATTCACATATTACTCCATCTACCTAAGGCAATGAATCTCTTTATTGAACGTTTCTTTTGCCCCTCCTTACCACATTCCCCTTCCCTGTGTAATAAGGTGTGGGTCTTGAGGATTGGAAAGTAACAAGTAGAAGTGATTTTAAACAGGCGTGTACCCAAGGAATCAATAAGGGAACTTGATACCACTCTATCCTTTTTCATGTGATGCTGGAGCCTTGAACATGCTAAGCCAGAGCTCTCCCTTTGAGATGGAGCCCACTAGTCAATTCTTAAACAGAAACTATTTCCTAATCATCAAAGAGAATAGCTAAGCCAAATGAATACAGAGAAATGCTTACAGAAAACCTTCCTCTAGGTAAAGGACTAGACTCATGCTAGGAGACACTATGCATTTTTTTCAATCCCAGTTTTATTTTACTTGTTATTATATTACCCTTCTCTCCAAAAGAGATAAAAATGAATAGGAAGAGTAGTAAGTTCATTCTCATTCCCAAAGTAAACCTCCAGAAATGTTCAATGACAGCTCAGGCCTCTGCTACATTTTGTCATTAGAGCTTCTATTTGTAGTTAGGGAAGAAATGCAGTAGCACTTTCTTACTCTCTAGCTATAATGACTGCTGCTATTGATTGGGGCCTGTACCTCAGCTAAGGCAGGAAGATGGTAGCTGAAAAGAAGACAGGTCTTTGGGGTTACCAACTCTAGGTTCCACGTTGTTAGGAAAAGTGGGAAGGACATGCCGGGTACAAGCAGACTCTAAAGAGGATGAGACAGGGAAGCATAAAACTGGCCATCCTGGTCAAGAACTACCTAGCTGTGAGGAAATCTGAAATAGAATACTATGCTCTTGGCCAAAATTGGTGTCCATTACTCCAATAATACTGAATTGGGCTCAGCACGTGCAAAATGCTATAGCATGTGTGCACTGGCTGTCATTGATTCAAGTGATCCTGACTTATTAGAAGCTTGCCAAAACAGACCAGTGAGAAATAAATAGGAAAGCTTTTCTTTAATAAAACTAACCAAAGTTTGGTTTTGTTTTAAAGACAGGAAAGAAGGAAGTGTAAGAAGAATGAAACCAAATGGGCTATAGATGTGGCTCAGTTGGTAGAGATCTTGCCCAACAAGCATGAGGCCCTGGGGTTGCTCCCTGAGGCATCCAACCCTGCTGTGGCTTACCTGTATTTGTAAGCAGCTTCAGATAATCCTGGCTCTTTCTGTGCCCCTGGTTCTGTCCTTTCTTCCCTGTGAACAGTTCCCAGAAACTGCTCTCCATAAAAATCTATCTCCTTGTGTGCCGTGGGCTTTTAAACCGCCGGGATCCCTGAACCCACTCCTCTCCCCTTCCTCCCAACACAGAAGAAACACATTCAGATAATTTGCATTTCTGCTCCCACAAACACTTTGAAGCAAAGCAATTTAGGCAATGACAGGAAGTGTTGTCTAGCCCAGGGAAACTTCAGTTTTATTTCATTAGTCAACTGTTGTACTCTGAGTTACGCCCACTAACCTGTGGTTTTAGAGCTGTCTGACCCTGTGTATGAATTTCAAGCCTTATTCTAGTCTTGTTTCCTACACGTACTGACTTAAGCCCTTTCCTATCACTTATGGAATGTTAGTTTCTGGTGTTTTATTTTGTTTGCATTACCTTTCCAACACTGCTTCTCACAGTTTACCACTGTATCATGATTTCATTTGACTATTTACAGTGGGGAAAAAAATAAGTCCAGGTTTTTTAAATGTAGGGTTTTTTTGTTTTGTTTTTTGCTTTTTTTTTTTTTTGGCCCTAGAAAAAGATTACCCAAAGCAGAAGAATTCATCAGCTCCTACATGGGTTGAATAAAGCCAGTCAGCTCACTATGTAGATATTCCCTTGTTTAGCTTGATTTCAGATCACCTGGGGATTGTTAAGACACTATAAAGACCAGCTCCAGATCCACTGTCATGTAGGTGTTTTCTCCAGTCATCGGGTAGGGTTCTGAGAGTTCTGTCATCTACAAAGTTTCTGATTTTTTTTTTCTTTTGAGCTATGGTTCATTCATGAGTGGCAAGCAAATGCATAAGTAAAACCTCACCTGCCCTGTGCTAAACTAACTATAGTCTGGTTTGCTTCAACTAGAGGAAAAGGCCTTTCTTATAATCCATATGAAGGAGCTGTGGAGATCTGAGGGTTTAGATAGATGGTTTTACATTTTAGTTCACGTTCACATAAGTCACTTCACATGCCCTCTCATCTCTTTACCACATGAGCTTTAGAATTTTTCCTCCAGTTTTATAAGAAAATTGAAGCCACAAGCTGTTTAGTGACCTGTGTAAGCCACATTAGCAGGATGCAGAGAGATAGGGGTGGCTCCCCCTCTGTCAGCTGCCACCCATTGCTCCTTGTCTTTGTGAACAAAAACTCCTGAGAGAAGCTATATCCACAGAGACTGGCTGATTAGAATTCCAGTACTGTGGAGAGACTGGAATGCTGCAGGTCCAGAGGCTGATGACCTTATCTTGGGCTAGATCTAGTCTTCCTGAACAGTCAGCCATTCCTTGTCTGGGCCAGTGTCTGAACCAGCATCTTGTGACTAACAGATAGAAATCTTTTGCAATCTATTAACTTAGCAGACCACTAATCTCCACCAACACAATAGCTAAGAATGTCATCAGATAGCATCTTAGGTCTATAAAAAAGCTTCCTCCATCTTGTTGTACCTGCCTCTCTGATGTACCCACCAATGTATTTTTAATCTGCCTTGATTTGTGACTTTAATCTTTCTGTAAAACTATCAAGTTCATGAAAGTGCTTCCACATTGGAACGTGGAATTTGAGGTAACCTAAGTCTGTGTTCCCAGACCATGGTCACTCCTTGGCTATCTTTTATTCCTTTCAAGATGAGAGCTGTGGTTTTTGTGTCAACATCTTACACTACCTTCCCAGACACTAATAACTGGCTCCAGTTGATGTCAATTTTCTCGTGGCTCTAGAGCACAGTTGGTTACCCCTGATGACAAAAACAATATTGAATGCATAAGTTGACTACTATGAGTAGTTCCCCAAAACTCTGGAACCCTCTATTTCAAAAGTACTGTTCTTTATAGCCTCCATTTTTTCTAAATAATAAAAAAAATTATTTATTTGGAGACACGGTGGCCCATGTTGGCCATGAACTTGTGTCATTCCTCTTACCTCAGCCTCCCGGTGCTGGGCTTATAGGATGGGACCATGAAGCCAGATCTGGTTATTATTGTAACAATTCAACTCTGTAGAATGAACGCACATAAATCTGATCTCAATTCATAGAGCAGAAGCCTTCCAACATAGTTCTTATAACCCGTTCACTCCTCTCTAATCTCTGCAGTTTCTCTGACTTGGGTTCTAACCCATTCAGGCCCTGGGTCCCTTTGACAGACTATAACTCTTTAGGGAGTTATTGTACTATTTTGTTCTTTCTTTTCCTTTCTTTCTTTCTTTCTTTCTTTCTTTCTTTCTTTCTTTCTTTCTTTCTTTCTTTCTTCCTTTTTTTTTTTTCCAAAACAGGGTTTCTCTGTGGCTTTGGAGCCTGTCTTGGAACTAGCTCTTGTAGACCAGGCTGGTCTCGAACTCACAAAGATCCACCTGCCTCTACCTCCCGAGTGCTGGGACTAAAGGCATGCACCACCAACACCCGGCTCTTTTGTTCTTTCTACGGACTACTTTTGGAATCTATGTACTGTCGGAGGAGTTTTGCTAATAACATATAAACAACAAAACATACCATAGTCACCTCACTCTGGTGCCAAAGAAACTTCCAGAACCAATAAAATTCATGGGAGTAGTTCCCCAAAACTCTGGAACCCTCTATTTCAAAAGTTCTGTTCTAAAAAAAAAAATGCACAAATGTTTAGAGGGTAACCAACCAACTTGTTATTGAAGTTGGATTTGCACTTTGCACCACCCTGCCTAGTTGAGGGTTACTTTTTAAAAGTGTTTAGTAGCCATTCATCTCTATTTTTTTAGACTCCTGCCAGGGAAGAAAGTAGGTTGATTGTATATCTTCATCTCTCCTTTTCTCCTCCAGATCCAATCCCTTAGTCTCATACCCACCTTTATAACAAAACACCTGCTTTAGTCTCCCTTTCCTCTTTGACCTCACCCTTAATGGACCAGGAAGATCTTCTCTTTCAACCTTCCATCTCCCAACTCACCCCACTGTTCCAGCCTTCAACACCAGCAACCATTCCCTGGGAACACACCAGCTGAGCAGGGCAGGGAAATAAGTAAACTAGCTGAAGACCTTCACCATTCCCTCCTCTCCTCCAAATCCAATCCCACAGTCTCATCCCTACCCTGCAACAGAACCCCATCTTCTTTCCCCATCTGCCCACATCTCCTGCAGTCTATCCCCATTCCTAGGTGTCAACTCTCAATACCCAGAAACACATTTACCTGTATCCCCAAGTGGTTCACAGAAAAATTCCTACCAGGTAACACACAGCCACCATACTCTTCTAAAATCCAGAGAGGAAACAAAAAACAAGAAAAAAAAAAAAAGCCTACCCAACAAAGACAAGACCAGATATGAGCTCCTAGAACTATAGTCTTCATAATCCCAGATATTTAAATGCCAACATAAAAGCACAATCAATAACAGCCAGGATAATATGTCTCCACTAGAGTCCAGCAATCCTACCACACAGCTGAAGCACAAGAAAAAGACCTTAAAGCAGCTTTTACTTATATGATAGAGGTCCTTAAAAAGGAAATGAATAAATCCTTTAAAGAAATCCATGAAAATGCAAACAGTGGAAGGAAATGAATAAAACTATTTACACCCTGGAAAAGGAAACAGACTCACAAAGAAAACCCAAACTGAGAGAATTGTGGAAATGAAAAATTTAGAACAAGAACTACAGAGACAAGCTTCACCAA